CTATAAGCCTCGGAAGCACATGATCCGTAAAAGCTCTAGGACAGATAAGTTTCGTTTGCTACCAACGCTGCGGATACCTTTTAAAAAGGAAGAAGGTACGCTCACCAGATCATTGCTCTATACCCTAAATATAGGAGAAATATAGCTGCAAGGTAATCTTGAGTTAACTGTTTTCACAGGCTTTAAACCAGGTTTTGTAATTAGGACAATTGGTCTCAATGAAATGGTATCTATTGTATAGTTTACAAGCTTCAGTTATTGATTTTTCTTTCTCTGTTGAGCAAGGTGCCCAGTACTTTCTGTATATAGCGCACAACATGTCCGCGAAAACTCGCTATTTACTAAGACAAAATCGGTCGCTATGTTGCGGCTAGTGGGCATTATTGAAGTTCCCCTCGAATGCTTGCAGTTTTTGGACCTTGGGCAGCGCCAATATGACCCAGAACGCTGTGATTACCTTTTCAAAGTATTTACAGGATATGATGCTACCCCCAATGAGTTCGCTAACCAAATTGACGGCGTCGTTCTTGAAGATACATTTGGAGAAATCCTAAAGTCAACAAAACTTTCTCCGCTCAGTTTCGAGAGAACCTTGGCGGGTGGCCCATACCCTGTGGTGGGCCACCATACAATCAAGTACCTTCAGGGACGCCACCGTATAGAAGCAGCGAGAAGACTGGGACATGGCTTGTCATGGATTGTGCGACTCCATGTCATTGATAGTTGGTCTAATTTCATTCAGCACGAAGTAAATTTTATACGAAATCAGACAAACCATTACGGCCACGAGAAGGAATGGTCTGACGGCGACATTTACATGAAATTGAGGGACGCTCAGGCACGCCGAGATGTGAACATGGAAAAGCAGTTCTTGGTTGGACTGGGTCCAATGAAACTCAAATCGCTGGCCGACCTTGACGAGCGAGCAAATATCAAGGTGATTCTGGACGGATTTAAAAGCACCCCCGGAATAATGAAAGGCCTCAGACTCGGTATGCTATACAAGTATCTCAGCTGGCATAACTTGGATCTTGAAGTAAAGAAATATATGGAACATATCGAACGAGTGTTCCGAGCCATCACGGAAGGCATACCCGCAATACAGCACTCTGTTGATATCAATACTGTCAAGATTCTAGAAGGAAGGTTTCCATCGTCTAGTAACGTAGACCGCCGCACCATAGAGCTTTCATTCCAAGAGGGACGCTTATTTTCAGAGGTAAAAGACAACCACTGGCGCTCACGATTAAAACAAAATATCTTAAACAGTCATGGCATGATTCCCAGTCTGACCTCCTTCCACGAGTACATGAAAGTTCTCGGCACAGCTTCTCAGATAATCAAAACTCATTTGATTCCAAATAACAAAAGCAGTCAGAAAAAAATATTGCGCCATCGATTAGGGGAGTCTTGGGGATTACGCCACCAGCTCAAGGAATTTTGGGATGAGTCGTCGCGAGCACTTGTGGAAACTTCCGAGGGATATTTCCAACCAGTTTTGGGCCCGCCATCTTTCGAACTGGCCTACTTACATCTCATAGTAGCGGCAATACGGCAGCACCCCTTTTTATTCCACAAAGATGGCCCCAGAGTTGGAAGGGGTGAGACTTTCCCATCGTTCATCGATCCAGCATGTTTATGTCTGTTCTATCGTCGCGCTCATTTACTAGGCTTTCGAAACAATCTCATTACTCAGGGTTGTCTATTAACAAAACAACATTTTGACTCTACAAAAGACAATCTAAGCTGGGAACAGGAGACAGAATTTCTATCTCGCGTAGATCGTCGATGGGGCCGCCCTCATGTGCCAACCTTTCATCGGATACAACAAGTCCTATTTCTTCCTCGTCTAGATATTGACTATGTTGATAAAGGCCAGCTATCAGTCGTGCAAATCCAGCGTAACTTCATTGACGCATTCTTTGGATACCCTGAATTCGAGCTTGATATGTCTGCTGCACCTATAAACATCAATACGACTCATTTTGAGGCTTCCAGCTTACCACGTTTAGACTCCATCCTTAACTTCCCAGGTGCGATACCCAAAAATGACGAGAAATACATGGATGGAATCCTGATGTATCAACAACCTCGAGAGGACGTAGAAATGACGGGTACCGATGCCGTTACCTATGAAGGAGATATAGTGATGCAAGACCAACAACCCGAGATGCCATCTTCATCGGCCACTGCCAACAGAAATGAAGATATGTTGGATCGAGAGTTTGGCCAAACCAGCCGCATCTACCAGAATGGATCTAAAAAAGGAGGCAAAGCACGAGATCAAGGACTTCTTGCACGGCATTTGGCACAAGAGACAAATGAAATCTCAACTAAAAACCCGGTTGTATCACACCATGGTGCTCAGCTTGTTGATATGGAAGCCTCGAACAATCAGATGGATTGGTGCGGCACAAGCATGTCACTTCATCGAATTTCGAGCAAGAGTCAGCCTCGCTCCACAACTCAAGCATTATCAAATGATGCGATTAAAAGAATATCGAGCATACAAGGCCATTCTCCTCAGCTCTCACTGATCAAAGCTTCAAAAGATGGAGCTATCCAAGATATTCACGTCAGTGGGGCAAAACAAGCTGACCATCCAACGTTTTACCCTATTGATCTCCATCGCCTGTCAAGCTTAGATCAGCCGTGCTCTAGTTCAGTCTCCGAGTCATCACCAGCAAGTAATACAAACTTCCAAAGAATTACAAGTATCAAGAGCCGTTCATCTGCAGTGCTACCTTCATTATCCTCAATGCGAATGGATCCGGGGAGGATACATAGCTCCGATGAAATCCGTTCCTTCATGCCATATGTCGACATGGATAATGACATCGGCGAACTTCGTCGAATATCCAGCCTCAAAGAGATGCGGCCTTCGATGCCCGTCGGCCTAAAGGAACAGGTATCTGATTCTTGGTTCGTTCCCGCTGGGCCTGAAATGCGAGATGGGCAGGTGGTTCAGGCCCCAACATCTGGGCGGGTCAAATGTGAACCACTCGATGTGTCATCTCTACAGCCTATCAGTTCGATCCCGAATAGTTTTGGTTCGCATATCGATCTGCAAAACCTTGCTGAGTCATCTAATCAATTCGCCGACGAGTCCAGCTTTACAACAAGGTCTACTTTGCTGAGTTTTCCAAGAGACAGAACAATGTCATGGCAATATTTGGATGGCTCACAAGGATTTGACGACAGCGAAGATAATCTTTCATTCTGAGAGTGGCAAGATTTACAAATAAGGCTGGTTGTGGTTTAGTAGAACACTAAAGAAGCCTACTACAGTCAATGGCCCACTATAGTACATACATAGGATTAGTAGCTGTTTCCCGCACCCGAATGATATTTCACTTCATTGTACCAGTTTTCTTAAATCCAAGGTTTTTTTTCTATGCTCGGAAGACTTTATATTGCTCTCACGACTTGTGGTGATGATTTCTGTGTGCCTTAGCAAGACGCCTTAGCGAGACGTTTGCGTTCGCTCAGCTTCTTTCAGTGTCCAACAGAGGGTAGTCGGCCAAGAAACATATTGTATTGCATCTCCTTGCATCTCCTTGCATCTCCTGCGTAATCTCTGCGGTTGACCGTTCAGGACCAAGCCTGTAAGGACCCACTCAATGGACTTGAGATTTTATGGCTTTATATAGGCATCATACTCATCACGACATATCTTGTATTCCTACGACTCATAACAACTCATTGCAACTGCTTGTTCAACTCGTCCACAGTCTAAGTAGAACGTATGGTAGATAGGTTGTCAATTCTTCGTCTTGCTAACATGCTAACCGTGCCGACATCAATGTAAATACAATCTTGACTTTCAAACTCGTTTCGTATCACGTAGCAATGTCTAAAAGCAGGCTAAAGGCCAGCTCTAGCTAACTTCCAGTCGCCACCAGCTCAGCTAGTCAAAGCTTGAAATGGAGTCTCTGCGACTTCCACGTGAATATCGCTGGCGAGTTCGTCTTATCTCCTCTCTACTATGATAGTCGTTCTGCTGCTTTTTCTTGTGGGTAAGCTTCTCTTTCTTATCGAGTCTATCTTAAGTTAGTAAACAAGGAGATTAATCTTGACCACGCTCTTACGCGAATCTCGTGATCAACCAGGCACTATAGGCCAAGATCGAAGCTTTAATGATGCTCATTGTAGCAGAGAACTTGTTTAGAGGTATGAGGTAGAGGCTGTGTCGTATAGATGAGATGATCAGAAGTATGCAGATCGACGCATGGGTGCACTGATTCTGTAGGGGATGAGAGGTTTAAAACTCCGAACCGCGCACTTGAACCAAGCACTCGAAATAATTAGCTTAGACGGCTTATAGAAAGTTGCACTGTGATTCTTCAGTGTCCGAGAGCCTGTTTTCGCTATATAGAATCGGTATTTCTCCGTCTGTCTCTGTCAGGCACTTTTGCCTCTCTTGAAACTCGGAAACTGTAATCGAAATATAGCTGCAGAGGTTTGTTAAAGTACGATTATGTAGATCAATCAGCTTTCTTTGTGTTTCATTTTCCTTTTGACTATTCTCTAGTTGCCCTTTCAGAGTTTCTACCTGTGACTGTAATTGAGAGATGAGCAACGACTGCCGTTGATTGATCTTTGGGCTGTGTTGAGTAGACTGAGGTTGACTAAGAGTTTCAACTGCGGTGTAAAAAGATGAAGGCTGATTTCTTTTGCTGTCAAAAGCATCTTCGAACAGACCTTCTTCAGGCCGGCTTGGTCTGGGCGGTTTGGGCTTAGCAGGCTTCGGTCTGAGGGTCAGCGGCGGAATTTCAGGGAGTGGCTTCTCTCTTGACATGTTGCCAGTGTGTGCAGTCACAGATAAACACAGGGAAAAGGTTTCACGAACACTGGCGATCGTATGAGCTTTATGGGTTAAGCAATACTCTGGAGGGTGTGACTTGTCATTGAAAGTGTAAATAAGAGGCAAACGAATCCTGAAACTGGAAACAAAAAACAAAAAAGAAATTCCCGTCCATCTCATGCGCTCAACCATCTAGCTAGTAGGGACCGTACATGTTGTAAAATTCCTGGACTTCGGAATCATTTCTCTCTACACCCTCGCTGTTGTAGTCGGTCTCACTAACGTCATCATCGGAGGCGTCGTCGCTCTGATCATCTCCACTATATTCTTCTTCCCCGTTGCAGTGGCTACAGTTTAGTTCCTGGTCCCGAAGGGTCTGTACGACCTCTGCCACTTCTTCTTTGACTTCTTCAATCTTTTCCTCGAGCTTTGCCAGGCGGGCGTCCTGACGATTCTGGCTGTCATGAATCCACTCAATGATGGCCTCAATTCGATCAAGGCTGGCGAGAATGTTTCTGGAGTTAAGGTAAGCATTTTCAGTGAATTCCCGGATCTGTGCTACTTGCTGCTTCTCAGTCGGAGCTGTGGATCTGTGACTTTGGCCTATGGGGCTGAAAGCATAGTTTCCTGGTTTGTCCGACTTTTGCGGGGCGTGCTGGATGTTGGTGTCGGGGGGAACTCGTACGGCGGAGTATTGTTCATTGAAAAGGACGGAAACCCGGCATATCCCAGGTAATCTTGCCGGGGGGTGTCCTTGCCGGTGTCATTCGGAGGGGTGGAATTGGTGTAGTTAAGCAGCTGCAAGAAGTCGTCGTTGGACATGTCGGCTACGTTGAAACTGGTTGCCATTGTGGGAATGATAAGTTGGTTCTTGCTCTGACGTCGGATTTGTGTCTGCTTCCATTGGGGATTATGTATTCTCGAGGTGGCCATGTTCCCAATGTCAAGTATGGCCAGGTTAAGCGCTGAACAAGCGACCTAAGCGCCTGCAGGTTTTGGGAACACTGACTTCCGTTTCTCCTTCTCGTTCTTTGCCTTCTCATTCTCTGATTCTGAGAAACTTGTTCCTACTTAGTCTGAGATTATTTAACTTCTGCGTCGTCCTCGTCCTCGAATCCATCGGATTGTTCGCCAGTGGTTTCCAAACGAAAAATGAAGTCCTTTACTCACTTGTTGCTTCTTTCTTTTGCCCAGATTGCCCTCTCAATGAATGGCTTCCCAGCCATTTGTACGTGGGATCCCCCCATCCCGGTGGCGGCCGGAGGGATTCTTTCCGCGAGGTGGGTCTACACCACCATCTGACAGTTCACGACTTACTAAGGAAACCAACAGGATTGATAACCCTTGGGGCTCCCGCTGCACAGCGACCCTGAGGTTCAAGGATTCAGACTATCTGCCAATCAACTGGTCTTTCGACGCAATCCAATGCACTGACTATGAGCTTGCTCAATTGACGGTGCCCATCGACTTGCCGAACGGGGACGCATACGTTATCTGGTCAGTGCGCCGGCCAATTATGAGGCACTTTTGCTGATCTTCTACAGGCAGTGTGCGGGGCAAGGTGCACTAACTTGCAGTCACGTCGCAATCACCAACGGGCAGGGTAACATGGAGGCTGTTGAGCTTGACCAGAACGGCACCGTCGGGTGCATCTTCAATACCCGCCAAACATTGACTAGCCTAGTCACTCGCACTAGTTCCACTGGCACACAGATCGAGACGACTGTTTCCACGTTGACGGCCCTGACTACCAGCTTCCAGGGCCCGAAGCTGCAGGCCCAAGCTACCGGCACCGCGCCCTTTGATCCCGCGGCTCGGGGAGGTACAACTGCGTCCACGCCAGTGACAGCTATTGTTGGTGCAGCAGCCGTCGCTACAACCACCACTGCCGCCACGGCGAATGGCCCCGCCGGACCGGGCGGCACAACCACAGGCACGATCGGTGGCCCGGACACTCAGACTACTCCAATTCAACCCACTTCGACCACCTTGATTGACTCAAACCAGATGAATACAGGGATCACTCCGACGCCTATTGCAGCCGGGCCGATCGGAACTACTACAGCTGGCGCAACCCTGGCTGCTGAGGAAGGCGCTCCGGGAAACACTAACACTATTGGCACAGCCACCACCATGACCGTGTCGGACTGCATGGTCCCCTGCATGACTACTACCACCTCTGTGAAAGCTTGATAGGTCGGAACCAACAGTATACCTAAGAGACCGCTTATTCTGTATCAGTCCTGTAACGGTTTGCTGGCAAGCCTTTCTGTCGTTTGCCCATGTCGCACACTCTTTAGATAGCAGTTTGAAATAGATTCTCTTTCCATTTTCCTCATGTATTGTGCTACTTCTCAAGGACAGTAATCGTGTGTGACATGCCTGCTCCATGTGCGCTGGCCAAGTAAGGCCACAATAGCAACTAACCGCTCTGAGACCTCATCGGTTCTCGCGACAGCTCGCCATCGAACTACAAAAATCACAAAGCTGGTTTGCAGACTAAGATAACACCATCGGAAAACTCGATCCTTGCTTGCCACAGACCGTGTGTTCCTCATAAGAGATACTAATGGCAAGCACTCCCCGCTCCACGCCGTCTTTACTTCTTTCCACACAGACACACTATGGACACCTTACCGCCAGAGCTCATTCTACAGATCGCCTCTTGCCTCCTCACTCCGGATCTCTGCAGCTTTCGGCTCGCAAGCAAGTTGCTTGCGAGAACGACCTATCCGGTCATCAGGCACCACATTGCCGTACTGAATGTCAGCTCATGTATCCGCGATCTAAAACAGCACGTTAAATCATATGGCTCAATTTCACAGACAAGGTCTCTGACAGTATATCATGGAGAGTGGCCGATCTGTTCAAGAGACGAATGGCGAGTTCATCCTTCTTTCCTCTATGAAATGCATCCGCGTGCCTTTCTAGATACGGCCATTGATGAAGTATATCAACGCTATGCGGACTTTACTGCTCGTCAGCAGCGGGGGAAAAACTTGAAGAGCTCTTCTGTGATGGCAGACTTGCTGCTGTACATGCCGCGTCTCCAGTCGCTAACTCTTTTGCCTCTTCGACTCTTTGCACCCTGTTCCTGGTCCATTAACCGTAAGCTGAGTCTTATTCGAAAGAACATGTGGATTTCTCCTTCTTTTAATGAATCCATGGCACCTCTAGTGGGCTCATTTCTACAAATTGGTCACAGGTTTGGTCACATACAGAAGCTTGTAATCCAAGGAAAATTCAACATCCAGGATCTGCCTCCTGTAGGTCATTCTCAGCGTCTTACGCAACTTGAGATCGACTGCCTAGTGACTACGAACTGGAGAGATAAGCCCTTTCTCAAATTCCTGGCATGTTTCCCTAACCTGCAGCATCTCACTATCAGACTCGAGAAAGCAAACGGAACCCACGATCCACCCGCCCTGCACAAAGCGTCTTTAGCAACATTACAAGAGTTGCATGTCAAAAACATGTGGATTTCGGAAGTGGAACTACTCGCAACAATCGAAAAGAACGCTCTTCTGCGCACCATCGGTCTCACAGACATCACTTTGATAACAGGGACCTGGCAGTCGTTTTTTACAAGGTTGAGAGACGCGAAGCGTGCTACTTCTCTGATCTGCAACGGTGTGCTTGACGGTTTGAGTCTTGAATGTCCATTCATCTGTGTAGAAAACGATACAAAATATCAGCTCCAGCGGTTTCTTGACAACGAAAACATGCGCTGGCCGTTTCGCGTATGCAAGTTCCAGGAAAGAATTTACGTTTGACAAGAAGCAGTAATTCAACACAGCAACCCTGTTACCAGAAATGTCACCAAAGAGAGGCCAGTGGTCAACAGTTACCTCACGCTTGACTTAGCTACTTAACAGACCGATCGTCCAGCCTCCCTATCTCATCAAGAGATGCCAAGGACTGTGGAAAATGAATCCTGACCCGCAAGAATTCCCATATGCCATTGATGAATACCCGGGCAGTAACTCGAGCATCCCCGCACCATCTTTCCCGGGCTCTCAACTACCTCAAACCAATTACTCTTCTCCTTTTCATATTGCCCAGTCCCCGTCTCAGTTTCTCTATCCGGGGAGTGATGATGAGAACAACTCTGCCGCAGCACTTATGCAGCTTGCAAATGGTGCTCCCCAACCCGGTGAACCTAACCCGTCCCCACAGAGTTTTCCCCTTCCTGATCCATCGCTGGAAGTTCGAGGCCAGTTTGGTTCGCCCTTCTATCCACTCTCTCATCAATACCATTCCCAAAGTCCTCCGGATGCGCCCTCTCAGCAGGTTGCATCCGAGGCAAGAGAACGAGAAGGCGCGCCGACTCCACCCAACTCCACTCCATCCGGAGATTCTTTTGCCATCATAGAAAGTTGGCAAAGGCGCAGTGGAGAAGAGAGTTTGGGCCACATAAGTCATGTCCTGAGAGAAATTGCCAAAGGAAATCTAGCGGAAGTCCACATGGATTCGGATCTCCTCGCAGAGGTGCTGGCCATTCACAATCGTCCATACGAACAAAACGTTGCAGCACTCCAAGAAATTCTTAAATCAACTATAGACCACTTTGAAGTCCCAATGCAGTGTCTGACGGATCTTTCGCTTGCCTGGAAGCAAGTTTGTTCTGTCAAATTACGGCTTGATCACAAGGAAGAGGTTCAGTGCGATGCCGAGCAAATAGAGAGATTCCTGATTTGCAACTCCCTTGTGATGTCCGCATTTCGGGGGGTTATGTGGCACATGAGAGACATGAACCGGAGCGTACCATTGGGTACTTTATTTCAACCATGAAAGAGCCTTTAGTCGTACGCGGGCTATCTATTGCTTCAGTATTACGGGAATTATTGAACTGTTCATTTTATCTAGATTGGTCCTTAGTTACAGCAATTCTATTGTGCTTGTTGATTTATTACGAATATCAGCATAAGTCGATGAAGCAGGAACTGTACCTGATAGATAGATAGATAGATAGATGAAAGAGATACCAGGCAGATTTCTGGGCCCTCGAACTTATGAATACTCTAATGCTTACTGAGATCTACCTGCAGATGGTCTGTTTGGTGTGAGGCCGGTTCACGTGCTCCGTTAACAGATCTGCCGTTTCAGCTCACCATCTGCCTCGTCATTGGCTGGTCTCATCTTGTTTTTCTTGATATACAGGCCTTTGCCCAGTCGTGGTCTGAATGGGAATAGCCGTCGTACACGCTCACTGGTTCAGACTAACAGTGCTATCCTGTTTGAATAAGACGGAGTTGAATAATGGCTTTCTTAAACCAAATTCAAATCTTCAAAATATCGGTAATTGGTATACGTGAAGAATCGTGGGATAGAAGGGGTAGACAGCTTCTCGAAGAGGGGCAGACGCCTCTTAAAATCCAATCTACAGTATCGGGGAACCAGTCCCTCCGTTTACGAATTAATGAAACTGAAAAGCGCCGATACTATAGCTGGTTTTAGTTAATCAAGTCCAATAATGCCCAGTTCCCTTAGTGACTAGTGTGCTTAAAATACGCCCATCATCACAGAGAGTTAGGCGGCTATACTTAGCGTGTTGATCAAGATACCTTAATAACGAGTTTCTCCCTGCTTCGCCTAGGCCTGTGGTTCAACTACAGCCCCTATCAGTTCCGACAAAAATCACATCCTGTCGAAATGATGTTGCCTATCTACACAGGCATATTGATATTTTTTACAATTACAAGTACAATTATTACTATAGCGCACAATGTGCTAATTGGAGTTACTTTCAACGTGCCTGGAATTCGAGATGCTGGCATTGTCACAATCCAGGTGGGATAACTTTGTATCGAAACTAGCTCAATCGCTAACCCAAACAGCTCAAAGAAAATATTTTGGCCAGTGAACTCATACAACAATCCCCGCTAAGTCTCAGTATTGGCATTGCAAGGGTCTGTGTGAATTTCGAGGAAGGCGGTAAATGCGTGTCACTAGATCAACTCGGCACGATCCAAAAGAGCTTTCCTGGGATTACGAAGCTTGGTGACGTTTTTAATTGTCTTTCTTTGCTTCAGGGCCTCTTCATATCATTGGGAGTAGTAACGTTTCTGTTTTCCATCCCCTGTGCTGTCATTCTTACCTTGACCCTTCTCCGAATGCGTTTTCGATTTCGGCGCATGCAAACTATGATAATGCTGGGGTTCTGCACCCTTCTTATTCCCGTTGTTGCTCTGCCCACACTGACCTCAATTGTTCTGAAAGAGGCGAGACGCACTTTCGGAGATATCAGCGTCGGGGAATTGAACCAGTATGGAACGGTGGCGATCGCATGTAATCTTTTCAACTTCAGTCTAGGTCTTGCGGCGATTCTTTTTCACATTACGTCCTGTGCAGTATAATTTTAGTAACATAAGAGTGGCTTGAAATCACGCGCTTTAGACTGGGGCATTACGAAAGTTAGCTCTATCGCTCAGATCCGGTTGGATCCTTTGCCTTTGGTACGTGATAGCAAGGGTCACGCGTCCTATCTCCTGCCGCCTTCAATTGCCCTTGTTCCAATACTTTCAGATGGCCTTTCTCTTGTTTCCAAGTATAAATTGAACACATTTCCCTCAGAAAACAGTGGTAACTCATCACACATCACGCGTTCGTTATGGATTCTCAAGATATCACAAATCCACATCTATCTAGGGCAAAAATACCGCCAACGCTCCTACCAAGTCGACATGTCGAATTTTTGAAGACTTCAACCTCTAACAACCGACGATACGGACTCGTTAGTCCACCGCACATTCATGATCAGATCGAAAAACCCGTTAGTCCACTACACCGGCCTCTTCAACTCCAACCGTCGCTGTTACCGTCGCCGCCCACGCCCCCGCCGACAATGTTCGATCCGAGATGGGAAATGCGATTTCCATCCACTTTAATCTACTACAATCACGATAGAGCAACTCAGCCACTCATTCGAGAAAAAGAGCAATATCAGACGGCGGCAGCGTACTGGCAGCAGGCCTATATGGCAACTCACAATGATCTTTCCGAGGCTATCTACGGACTTCAACTGAGACTCAAAGATCTCGAAGATCGGGTTTCGAGCTTCACTCTGCAGGTAAAAATCTAGTCCTACCTTCGCCATCTACGCTAAAATCCGAGTGTTAGACTCAGTCTAGGGATCGGCAACCAGAGCGTAGATTCAGCAGCCCATCCACACCCGTAGCGATGAGACCTCCAGC